TTCCTTCCTGTATCCTGCTGTGCTTTCTACTAGAATAAAGAATATGAAGAAATTTGTCCCTGGAACTGAACAAAGAATCAATTCTGACTGATTGGCAAGAGGCTCCATGTCTGGGAAGGACTTTGGCCCAATCCTCTAATTTGTCAAGGTCACTCTGAATCCTAGCCCTGCCCTCCAGTGTATCTACTATACCCCCTAGTTTGGTTCATTTGCGAACTTGCTGAGGGTACAATCCATCCCATCTTCCAGATCATTAATGAAGATATTGAACAAAAATGGTCCAAGAACCAACCCATTGAGCACTCCACTTGATACTGGATGCCAGCTTGACATTACTACCCATTGAGCCCAAGCCATTGATTACTACCCATTGAGCCCAAGCTTTCTCTCTGCCTTACAGTCCATTCATCTAACCCATACTTCCTCAGCTTGATTGGAAGAATGCTGTGGGAGACCCTATCAAAAGCCTTGCTAAATTCAAGGTATATCATGTCCACTGCTCTCCCCACATCCTGAGCCAGTCATCTTGTCATAAAAGGCAATCGGATGAGTCAGGCATGACTTGCCCGTGGTGAATCCATGCTGACTGTTCCTAATCACCTTCTTCTCCAAGTGCTTAGAAAGGGATTCTTTGAGGATCCGCTCCATGGCTTTTCTGGGGACTGAGGTGAGGCTGACTGGTCTGTAGTTCTCTGGATCCTTCTTTTTACCTTTCTTAAAGATGGGCACTATGTTTTCCCTTTTCCAACCATCTAGAACCTCCACCAGTCGCCACACATTTTCAAAGCTAATGGCCAGTGGCTCTGCAATCACATCAGCCAACTCCCTCAGCACTCTTGGATGCATTGCATCTGGCCCCATAGACTTGTACATGTCCATCTTTACTAAATAGTCCCTAACTTGTTCTTTCACCGCTGAGGGCTGCTCACCTTTCTTCCCAAATTGTGCTTCCTGAGAGCTGACCTTGTCTATGAAGACCAAGTTTAAAAAGGTATTGAGTACTTCATCCTTTTCCTCATCCTCTGTCACTAGGTTGCCTCCCCCATTCAATAAGGGACCCACAATTTCCCTGATCTTCCTCTTGTTGCTGACTTCTTATTACCCTTCATGTCCCTTGCTAGCTGCAACTCTAATTGCGCTTTGGCCTTCCTGATTTCATCCCTGCATGCCCTAGCAGTGCTCTTATACTCCTCCCTAGTTGTTTGTCCAAGTTTCCACTTCTTGTAAGCTTCCTTTTTTTGTGTGTTAGCTCACTGAATTCTCTGCTAAGTCAAGCTGGTTGCTTGCCACATTTGTTAGTCTTCCTGCACATCGGGATGGTTTGTTCCTGTACCCTCAGTAAGGTTTCTTTAAAGTACAGCCAGCTCTCCTGGACTCCTTTCTTCCTCAAACTGGCTGATGTATATCCTGACTAGCCTGCATGTCCTGACACAAAAGGCCAGAATTAGCCTCCTGTGTCTTTTGTAGTATTGTGCATTCTTTGAAAGGACACGGAGACACCAATGTATATTGCTCATAAGGAGCTGGCATGTGAAGAGACCTACTTTGAAAACACAACACTTGATAACTGTGCTTCATTATGATGACTCACATGTGGACTTCTTGAAGCTACTTTAGTTCAGTGTAGTTTAGTTTTCCACTAGGTGGCAGTACTGTCACATGCATCTTCTAGATCCCAGGGTAAGATGTTTCTTCACCCTGCCTTCTGCCTGAATTTAGACAACCCGGCTTAAGGATCTCTCACTGCTCTCTTTGCCACTGCTCAGTTAAATCTGTGCTGCTTTATTCTCAACATTACCGTATTGCAGGGGCAAAGCTAAGAAGGGAATTGTAGATTGTCCCCCAGCAATGAAGGATGGGCAATGACTAAAGGTCTTATGCCACAACTAATCATTTATATTGCAAATGAATGGAAACAATTAATAACCTGAATACTTCAGTACTGTTCTGGGCTGTCCTGCCTTCATGGTGCATAGTTCAAAGAGGCAAGCCAAGCAGCCTTGTTGATACAGTTGCTTAAACTCTCAGGCATTCACCCAGGCTCAGACCTCGGTGGGCCAGGTGCTAATTGGGTGGGGTGGTGGAGAGGCCCACCTGTGACAATCTTGCACTCAGTTCTGTATACTGAGTTGCTTCTTTGCATGGCCATAGTGTCCCTCACTGGGCACCCCCATGACTTACCAAGGGCAGTGTGTTTGTAGGCTCAGCCATGCAAGGGGGAGAATCTTGTCCATCTCATGGAAGACTTTTCATGGAGTTTAATGTTTTCTCTGTATTTCTATGATTTCCCTCTAAATTTTAAGAAGGACTTAGAAAAACAGCAATGGGAATTATTTCAGAATTGCAGCATAGGACTGAGGAAATCCAGTCCCTCTGCTATTGCAGGCAGCTTGATCAGTTTATGAAAGGGGTTGTATGTTAAAGAATGTCTTCTCAGATGGGCAGAAAAAATACAAATCTACAGTATTGATAGAGGGCTAAATCATCCTTATGAGAAGGGAAAGGGAACAATAAAAATGTTACAAATGGAAAAATGGGGCAGTAGATGGTAAGGAGTACAAAGAGCAGTTAGGGAAGCTGAAGGTATCCATGAAAAACATGGAAGGTTTAGGACTGTAACTGAAAAACAAAATGTTGGCAACAATACCAGTTCAGTGTTAGACAAGGATGGTAAAGCTGGCCCTCCTGAGGCAGAAAAAGCTGTAGTATTTGGATATTTCTGTTGTGCAGTTGGAAAGGGAGTAAAATGATGTATTCATATCTTACAATAAGAATGAAATACTTCCTATGCCATTAGGAGATATGGTAGATATTAAAATTCAGTCCTGACTGTTAAACACTTTTAAATTGGCATGATCAGATACTGTGCCCCCTTAATGTGGGCTCAAGAGCTCCCTGAACTATTGATATTGTTTTTAACACACCAGAGAATGATGGAGAATTTCTGGAGGGTTGGCGAAAAAAAATTAAAAAGGAAAAGCTAGCACCTTGCATGATTTTTTCAAATGCTTTAGCTTGCATCTTAATTCTGTCAGTCTTCAAGGCTAAGTACAGACAGTAAAAAAGCAGGAGGCCGAATTGATTTAATCTTCACAGGTTAGTCTAAGCTGCATAGATTGAACCAATAAGCAAGTGAGCAGACATTCACTTTTGATTCCAGAAATTCAGCCACATGTGTGCAGTGGCCTGGGCCAAAAGCTGGGGGTGCTAGAGCATGCCTCCCTGATCACTGGGATAGACAGCTTGGGTCAAGACTAGCCTGCCCACCCTGAGGCAGGGGTTGTGGGGGAAGTGCAAAGCATCCTGGGATGCTGGGGGACTGAGAGTTAACTTGAATCTAGAGGGGATCTAGGATAGATTTCAATAAAGGTTTATCTTAAACCAGTTTTAGTAATCTTGAAAGAGGTTTATGTGCACTGAACTTATAGGGGCATGATGTAAGAGACCAGAAGACCTGAATCCTATGTTTGTTTCTGACTTGGTACATGACCACAGGCAAGTTACTATCTCACACCCAGGTACCCCCAGGAGAGTAATTGGATTTCCTCTACTTTGGAAAGTACTTTGCTAATTAGTGAAACAAGTCATTAGGTGGGTTTTGTTCTCTTGCCTGTTGCTAGCATTGCAATCCAAATGCCTGACCTGCTTTTCTAAGCAGGGCAGAGGGTTTTAAGAATGATCTGTGTCTGAAAAAACATCTTCCTCCCCTCTATCTTATAAGTAATTTTAATCCTGGAATGCCTTTCTCTGTACACAGATCTATTTCTTGCTTGATGCATAGAAGGTGGGTGAGCTGAGGCCTAGGACAGGTGTTTTTGCACATCACTTCTGTCCTGAATGAGTGATCTTCATGCTCAGCTTCTTTCAGCTGCTTTTTTTCACTACACACTATATAGTTTATTTGACAGCCTGGCGGGTAACCCCCAACCCGTGACTACATGGAAGCAGGGAGGAGAGGAAGCACTATGCTTGTGTGAGTTAGCACAGCGGTATCTATTTGACTGGGCAGCCATGCATTCAGCTATATTAGAGGGCTGAACAAATTGAACTATGTCCGTTAGGGCCATCCAGCAGCTGGGATTACAGCAGTGGTTCTCAACCTTTTTTGTTCAAGGTCTCATCCGTAAACATCAGTGGCCCGTCCCAACCCAGTAAATAGTTTAAAAAAAAATCAGCCCCCTGGCCCTGCCAGTGACCCTCACTCCTGACTCACAGCCCCTTGGCCTTGCCAGTACCCCTCACTCCCAGCCCCCCAGTATGGCATGTGCCCCCAGATTTGTGCCCCCACAGTGGGCACGGGGCTGCAGCCTGGCTGGACCTCCATGGTCCAGCTGGTGGGTCCCCATGTGACAGTAGAATGGGGCAATGAGACTTGTTGCTGCCACTGCTGCCCCCAGGCCAGCCACAGCATCAGCAGCATGAGGAGTAATGGATGCGGGGGGTGGGGGGGTGGCCCAAGCTGCCCTCAACTCCTCCTGCTGCCAGCCTCTTGTGAGCCAGGCCATGGCTCTACCCCACTTCTATGGCCCAGCTGCTGCTGCCACTGCTCCCCTCAGGCCACCTGTGCTGTTCACCACCCCACTATCCCTCCAGGGTAGAACCGTGGCCTGAGGGAAGCAGTACTGTAATCCAGTGTTCCTGCCACAGCTCCATGCCCACTGTGGATGCACAAATCTGGGGGGATGTGTGCCCCCTCCACTCCCTGACATGTTGCCTGTGCCCCCCTGTCCCCAACACATTGTTTATGCCCCTTCCCTGCCCCATAGACTTACCTGTGGGGAGCTGCAGGGTTTGTTCTCCACCCTGCCTGACTGCCATGTGGTGTCCCCTGCCTGATTGCCTTCCTTCCGCTCCCCCCAGCCCCAAGCAGCCCCTCTTAGGCAAGACCTCCTCCAGCCTGCAAGGGGAAACCTGCTGTTTCCTGCATTTTTTTGTGATAGTCATGACCATTTCAAATATTCTTGCAACCCACTTTTGTGTTGTTACCCACAGGTTGAGAAACACTGGATTATAGCACCAAAACTGCAGTTCTCAGATCTACCCTTCCCTTCCCTGCACTTGAGCTCTTTTGAACCCATGAGCTTTCTTCTGAGCTCTGCTAAGAGATGGCTGATGGGAGAGGAGTCTAAAGCTGGCTGATCATGACCCCAGAAATGGTGAATACTGACTTTTGTTATAAGGCTGGCCATTCATGGCATGCAAAGTGCCCATGCCTGGTAGTAGGCATGAGCTGATGTAGTAGTATTGTGCCAATAAGGGGAAACAAAGGGTTCAAAGGGATAGTGACAGTTAATTAAACCAAATAATTGCTAGTCCTCTAGAATTAATATGGCACAATGTTGGGGAACATAAATGAGAATTTAGCACCATTATGGGGAGTACCAGAGCAGGAGGTGTAGCTGCTTGAGGTAAAAGCAAGCTTTGCAGAAGACGAAGGAAGAGACGCTCCATTATAATAATAAAATAGTTGTTGTTGGCAGGGATGAGAACAGACAACTTCATGTGTCTCCTTTTAACATATGGATGCGGTTGCGCATCGGCAAGCATGCAATACTTCAAAGGGAAGGAAACCTTAATCCAATGCCAAGAAAAAACTAGGCAGCCAGAGGTTTCTATTCCACTGCAGCCTTCATCTGCCTTTGCAGCCACTGTGAAGTACTCCTTCTTCATCTGCCTGCCCCACCACTGAGGACTTTTATTTGTATTCTGCAACAAACTAATGGCCCACGCAAAACTTCACAATAGCTATTGCCTCATTATGGCTGTACAATCATAGCAGAAATCATCAAAGCCCTCCTTAGACAGCCACAGTAATTAATGTGTTTATTTTTAATGAGGATTAAAGCACTCTTTCGTCCTCATCATCTCTAAGATGAAGCACAGGAGAACGGATGGGGAGAGGGAAGTGGATTTATATGGTAACTTGAAACTGGGGATGAGAACTTGTTTTGTGTCCTTTAAATTAAGGACTATCTTCAGTTCCCTGATGAGTGATAGATGACACTGAATCAGCAATTGCCAGCTGTGATAATCTAATGGAGCACTGCTCCTTGCCTTGTGTGTTCTGGTTAGTCATTTTCTTTTGTTGGCTGATATTTTTTCAGCCATGAGAATCCATGGGAGGCTGGCTTCCTTTGTATACAACATGTTGTTAAAATTTTAGTTTGATTTTTTTTGTATCCTTCCTTTGCTTTGGGGCAAGAATGGGCACAGCGGAGGCAAATGGAGTGCCTAGTACACAACTTGTGAATGGGTGACTGGACAGGAGTAAGAGCAATTTTAATGCCAGAAAGGACTGTTGCAATCTGACCTCCAGTATAGCACAGGGCATGGAATGCCTCCCAGTAATTTCTGATCAACTCTATAACTTTTGGTTGAATAAAGCACATCACTTAAGAGCGTGAATCTTCAAGTGATAGAGAATTCAAGTTCAAAAGTTCAAATGAGGGACAATTCATCCCAAGCTGTTTTAATGATTCATTACCCTCGCTGTTAAATGTCTGTATCCTATTCCTCCATATGAATTTGTCATCTTTCAGCTTCCAGACACTGAATTTTTTGTGTCTTTTTTTCTGTTAGAATGAAGCAGTTTTTGCCATCAGATATCTTTCTCATGTAAAGGAGGACCATAATCAAATTGCTTCCCTCCATAGAGACACTGGCTTGATCAGCCTTCTTCAATGTCTCACTGAGCACATGTATACAAGATGTTTACTGTAGAGTTGCCTAATTAGCTCCTCAGTAAATGTCTCAGCATCTACACATGCAGTGCTATTAGGATGGAGTAAACTAATTAACTCCACTATAGATTAGTACTTGTAAACAGAAGTACTATCTGGCTGCAGAATTCTTTACCCTGCAGCACTGCACATGTAGACACTAACCGGCTAGCCCTGCAATGAAGTGCCCTTGTGCCCCAGCCAGCCCTGTTGCAGTACACTGAGCCAAGTTAGAGCAGCCCCAGGCTGGCCAGGTGACCCCCCAGATCCTGTGCCAGCCAGGGCTGTTCTGACCCAGCTCAACATTTTTCAGTCCCAGGCATACATTCAATTACGGCGTCTGGGAGCAATAAACTCTAGTGCAATATGCACTAGAGTTTATTGCTGCATGTTAATTGCACGTGTAGATGTGCCCACTATAGAAACGTGTTTCAGACCTCAGATCTTGTAACTCTCTTCTGAACTGCTTCCAGTTTTTCTACAAACCTTTTTTGAAGTGTTGACATCAGAAATGGATACAGTATGTCTGTAACAGTTTCACTAAGACTGTATGCAAAAGTAATGGCATCACTGTTTTCCTATTTGATGCGCTTTACTTATACAGCTGAGGACTGTGTTTACCTTTTCAGATACAGCATCATGTGAGGAACTCATGTTTAATTTGTTATCTATTGTCAGCCATGAGGTTTTCCAGTACTGCAACTTTCCAGAGTCCATCCTGTAAGTATGACCTACATTCTTTGATCCTAGACAGATGCCTTAGCATGTGGCTGCATTACAAACTGACCCAGATTTTATAACTGACATGATGCAATCGCTATTTATGACTCCACTAAATTTTGCCATGTGAAGATGTTACAAGCAATGATGATGTTATGTCTTCTTTTGGCTAACTCCTAGACATTGCAACATGGGAACATAGGACTTGAAGGGGTCTCCTGGGCCAGTCCCCTGCATTTGCAGGTAAACATTTATCCAGGGTATTCTTGAAATTGGCATTTCAAACCCTCACACACAACTACAAGGCCCAATACCAGAAACACCAAGTAGACCCATAAGTAAAAGCAATGGAGACCAGGCCACTGCCAGTGGAAGTAGATGTTACGCTTATGTGCTCATACAATCATACAAAATGAGGGTTGGAAGGGACCTCAGGAGGTCATCTAGTCCAACCCCCTGCTCATCCCCAGCTAGATCATCCCAGCCAAGGCTTTGTCTAGCTGGGTCTTAAAACCCTACAAGGATGGAGAGTCCACCACCTCTCTGGGTAACCTGTTCCAGTGTTTTACAATCCTCTGAGTGAGAAAGTTCTTCCTAATACCTAACCTAAACTTTCCTTGCTGCAACTTGAGACCATTACTCTTTGTTCTATTATCTGTCACCACTGAGAACAGTCTAGCTCCATCTTCTTTTGAACCCACTTCAGCTAGTTGAAGGCTGCTATTCATAGTTTCATAGTTTCATAGTTTTAGGGTCGGAAGGGACCTAATAGATCTTCTAGCCCGACCCCCCGCCAGGGCGGGAGAACAACAAAAGAATCCTAAACAAAAAACGGGACTCAAATGAGTCCAGCCAGGTAGGTATCCAGCCTCTTCTTAAAGATCCCCAGGGTAGGGGCCAGCACCACCTCCCTTGGAAGTTGGTTCCAGCTCCTAGCCGCCCTAACTGTGAAGTAGTTTTTTCGGATGTCCAATCTGTACCTCCTCTCCATCAACTTGTGCCCATTACTCCTTGTTATGCCAGCGGGGGCTAGGGGAAACAGCGTCTCCCCCAAACCCTTCTGGTTCCCCCTAGTGAGTTTATAGACGGTCACCAGGTCCCCCCTCAGCCTTCTCTTGTGGAGGCTGAATAGGTTCAGGTCCCGCAGTCTCTCACTGTAGGGTCTGCCCTGTTGTCCCCGGATCATGCGGGTGGCCCTCCTCTGGACCCTCTCCATGTTGTCCACATCCCTCCTGAAATGGGGCGCACAGAACTGGACACAATACTCCAGCTGCGGCCTGACCAGCGTCGCATAGAGGGGGAGGATCACCTCCCTGGCTCTACTCGAGATGCACCTGTGGATGCACGACAAGGTCCGGTTAGCCCTGCCAACCATGACCTCGCATTGTCGGCCCATGTTCATCTTGGAGTCAATAATGACACCAAGATCCCTTTCCGCCTCCGTGCTCTCAAGTAGGGAGTTCCCCATCGTATAAGTGTGCTGCTGGTTCCTACTACCCAAGTGCAGCACCCTGCACTTGTCCGTATTGAAACACATCCTGTTCCTGTTTGCCCACCCCTGTAACCTATCCAGATCCTTCTGCAATCTCTCTCTCCCTGCTAGCGTGCTCACCTCCCCGCAAATTTTGGTGTCATCAGCGAATTTAAACAGGTTGCTTTCCACCCCAGCATCAAGATCGCTGATGAAGAAATTGAACAGCGCAGGCCCCAGGACCGAGCCCTGGGGGACTCCACTTCTTAGTGGAGTCCCCCACTATTAAATCCCTTCTTAGTCTTTTCTTCTCTAGACTAAATATTTAAGCCTAGTTCCTTTAGCCTCTCCTCATAAGTCATGTCCTCCAGCCCTCTCACCAATCTTGTTGCCTGCTACTGGACTCCAATTTGTCCACATCCTTTCTGTAGTGGGGAGCCCAAAACTGAACACAGTACTCCAGATGTGACCTCACCAGAGGAATAGTCACTTCTCTTGATCTGCTGGCAACAGGGACAACCATAATAGGGTGTGGGGCCTGGGGCAAATCAGTCTGTGTGGGGCCCAGATGCGGTGGTGGGGGGAGGAGGGGAGAGGGTGGTGAGAAACCGGATGAAAAGCTGATCCGTCTCTGCGAGGCCCCCCAAAGCATGGGGCCATATGGGAAGTGGTGGCCCATCTTCAGACCTAGCTCCATTAATTTGGCCTGCTATTCCTAAATGGTTGCTCTGGTTCAGAAAGCTTTGTAGTCAAGACATTTATCTTGCTGGTATCCCGTGACCCCAGCTGATTTCCTGCCCCTTGGGCAGGGGGCTGGACTCGGTGATCTTTCAAGGTCCCTTCCAGTCCTAATGTCTATAAATCTATGGATCTATGAATTCCTTTAAAACTCTTAGGTGCAAGTTTTCTGGACTTAGAGATGTTTAACTTTGATAGCTGTTGTTTGACTTCTTCCCTTGTTACTAAAGGAACAGAAAACATCTCATTTTATGGATTTTGCCTTCCAGGGAATTTCAGAGCTATCACTGAAGGCTGGACAAGAGCATTGTGGGATGGTGCTGGAAGGACCAACTGCACCTGTCTTCAGGAGTGCAGCTGAAGCCAGTACAAGACCCAGTGACTTGCTCAGAGAAAATGCAATTGCAACAGCAGTTAGTGGGGCACTTCCAAAGAGTGGGCAAGACCAAGCCCTACTTAAAATGAGCAACCCTCAACCCCTGCATATGAAGTAAGGACCTAATACTGCTTTTCTGGTATACTCAGCTTTGATAAAGAGGTGAAGGATGTAGACCCTCAAATGAGCTGGGAGCACTTATGAAAACAGTTCTTTTGCTATGATTGACAGCTGATTGGAGCTGCAGTGACTTATATTTTCAGTTCTGTGTTCATGTGCAGCCAAAGGTCAGTAGTATTCTGCCATACAGGAACACAAACTGAAAGATTTTAAATCCACTTTGGATGCTTTTCAGTCTTTTGCTCCTTTCTTGAGAGTAAACTGTCTGCCTGACTGTCATTTCTGTTCAGTTAGGTGCAAGGGACCAGGGAGTGGTCCACCCCACAAGGAACTGGGGAGACTGACAGCCAGACTCCAGTGCCTGCAGTAACAGATTCGGATTTGTAATGTAAAAGTTGGCATTCTTTCATCCTTATGAAGGCAGTGGGGTCAGATGCCAGCCTCCATAGGACTCGTGAGCAAAGATAGCTGGATGATGCTTTCTCTCTCCTGCAGAACTCTTCAGTCCTTAGTAATTCCCTTAACATTCCCTTAACAGCATGCATTTTACATCACATATCTATTATTCAAACATGTTTTGTTTAAGGCCCTTTGCCTGCTGTTTATAAAAGCTTTGATCACGTAGGTAAAACTCCCGTTTGCCTCCTGCATGGATCCATATTTAGCTTTGTTATTCCCAAAGTACACGATTAACTTCACTCATTGCAAAGGAGCATCACCACATTGACAATGTAGTCATGAATAAGAATTTGTCCCTATGCTACCAGAAGGCTGGTTGCTAACAGTTTTAACAGGCACTTAAGAAAGTTAAATAGGCAGAAGTATGGTTACAAAATAAAACACACACAACCCCCTGTTGTTTTTATGGCTATGTTTTCTGATAAAAACAGATTTTGAGTGGTTGCTTATTACCTGCTGAGGGTCTCACTCATCATCTTCAGGTAAACAGGCTATGAAATTGCTAATGATAAAGTGTTTTTATTTCATGACTTAACTGGTCTCATTTCTAAGTACCGTTTCAATCCAAATCTGGCTAGTAGCAATGTTTTTCTTCTGATTTAGATTCTTAGCTGAAAGGTTTATTAAATTGGCTATGCTCCAGGCCAAACATGCACTAGAGAGCTTTGTTCTGTTTTTATGGAGTTATGTCTTAGGTAAGAAACACTGTAGTGAAAGACAGGAAGATCCCTGTCTCTGAGCAATTGCTAATGGGAATGAGCTTGTGATTTTTAATCAGGCAAAATTCTTGTCAAAGGCACTGAATGTGTTGCCTGAGGCCTCAAGGTGTGGTGCTGGCAGACATGAAATGTCCTCCATTTCATAAGAAGTCAGTAGGGTTTTACCAGATGCCATAAAAAACAAAACGCTTGACAGGAGGCAGGCTGAGACCATTGCCCTGCAGACTTACCAGGGGTTGTGCCAGTGCTCTCTGAGCTTCTCTGTCTATTTGTCAGCTCTCTCATCTTATACGTGTACTTTTAAACTGTGTATAGCGTCCATCACGGTGAGATCCATTACATTACTGGAGCTCTTAAGTGTTGTGTTAATAAAATTTGAGAAAAAAGGGGCCAGAAGGGAGTTGCTGGAGCTGGCCTATAGTGACAAACACATTAATAACACCTGTGTACAGGAAGGTCTTTTGTTGTTAGGTGTGGGAACTGACTCTTTGTGCTGCCTGGGGCTATACATGCAAATCACTTTCCTCCAGCATAGAAACTGAAACAAATAGTATTTGCTCTGCCAGTGACAAATTATTTCCAGCAACAAAGCTGTTCTGATTAACAGTAGATAAGAATTTGGTCCAACTAGAAAAAGCACAACTCACTGGCCCATCTAGCTTGTTGGCCTGGAAATATAAATATATGTAATATGACCCTGCACTTCTAGTGTTGAGTCTGCAGTAAAACAGAAGAAAAATGTGCTCTCCTCTGTATCTGCCCCACAGAACAGCAGGGCCAAAGAGGGCCCCACCCAAGCTGAATGAACTATTACCTAACAACTCAGCATAATTTAGATCAGAATGAGGTCACTACCTGTTGCTAATTGAAACATAATAAATAGATGAATTATAAGGAAGGTTCATTAATTAGGTCATAGGCAGACAAGGTTCCTTGGGTGAATTTGATATCTTTTATTAGACCAACCCAAATAGTTGGAGAATAGTTATTAAGCAAGCTTTCGGGTTCAAAAACCCTTCGTCAGGCTAAGGAAGTTTCAGCAGTTGGTGTGTGCTCTTCCTGGATGGAATGAAAAGGTCATAATTTTCATCTATAATATGACTTGTCAGGGTGGTAGGAGCTTTGCCAAAGTTGTTTCTGAGTGGGACAACATTGAAGGCTTTATTGAAGTGGGACCATTAGACCCCAAAATATCTATCTGGAAAAAGCCAGTAACTTATTGGCAGGGACCACAAGGGAACACTTTCAACATGTTTGTAGCCACAGTATGGATTTGTTTCCCTTTCTTTACACACAAACTTTAATATCCTTTATGGAGTTATCTGCTCTCCCACAAAAGCAGATTGTGACTTCTCAGGGTCAGCTATAAAATAAGGAAGGAGTCTGTGGAGTTAGTGGAGTGATGGGCAGATGCTGCCATTGAGAGCCATCACTGGTGATGTGGGTGAGCTACTGGTGATAATTAAAATGAAGGGCTTTTAGAGAAGTTCTTAAGGTTTATGAGGAATAGAAGTAAAAGGAAACAGAGTAATTATAGGAGGGAGGAGGGGAAGCAGAGTGGATCTAAATCTCCTCTGTTCCTTGGAGAACTCTGTTTATGAAAGTAACCTGCCCTAAATGATCTCCATTTAGAGAGAGATTAAGATAGAAAAACCCACCTTACCTGCCAAAAGAGCTTGAGACAACTCCCCTTCCCCACTCTTCCCATCTTTAGCAGGCCTTGGGTCCTTGTCCTGGTCCTCAGTCCGGTGTGTTATGGCAGCCAGTTTTACCATTGGTTCTCACACTTTTCATGCCTTGGACTCCCCTGTGGGCTAGTGATCCCCAGATCATCCCAATGCTACACAGACAAGATTAACATGATCTCAGAAGAGCTATTTGATCCTGTTTCCTCTTTCCTTTGTATGCATACTGCTTATTTCCTCTCTGATTAAAGATCTGACAGTTACCAGTCACAAATTTCACCTCCCACAGCCCCTACTTGGTCTAATATTTCCCAGATTCCTTTCAGTTTGGTTTCTCCAATAAGTTGCTGCCCCACCACATTTGGTGACATCCACAACCCCAGTCCACCCTGAAATACATATTCTGTGGTAGTATCCACAATGTGCTTGAGGACAGGACAGGGAAGGACCACTTTTTAATCATGATTGACTACACCAAAGAAGCATCAAGCAAAGAAAAGCCTAATGCAGCTGCCCAGAGTGCAAAGGGGATTTTGTTGGCAATTTACAGTGCCAAAAGAGCCCCTGTTGAAGCCCAAAGAGGCTTCAACCTGGAGTAAATTAACTTGACTTCAGTTGAGCTGTTACTTGTCCACTGGGGACAGGGCAGAAGTAGAACCCAGGATTAAGCTGTACAGAAATCACTGTGTTGGATCTGACTCAAGGTCTGTTTAGTTCATTATCCTGTTTGCAGTCATGCCTAGCATGAGGTGCTCCAGAGACTGGTGCAAGGAAATACAGTACACACCAGACAGAAATGAGCTAATCTGTCTATCATGTTTGTCTCCTCCTGTAGCCTTGTTTAAACTTAGTTGTACCACTCAGCTGTACTGATATAATAGAAATACAACCCTCCCCCCAAAAATGTGGACTTGGCCACATATATTGGCAAATTGTATTCCTGAATCAGAAAGGGACTTGCAGGAGTTGCATTGGTATAAGTGTTTAGTTTTTAAAAAAATCATATCCTTGTCAAAATAGGAGAAACCCTGTGTGTAGATCAGGCTTGACATCTTGTTGGCTTTTTGTGACGGTCAGTTTGTTCTGAATGAAGAGCTTTACTGAATGCTCCACAGTTATGCCCAGGTCTCATTTTTTAAACAGATGCCATTTATTTAGGACCCTGCAAGGTCTATGAGTCGTTTGTATCTTTCCCTCCTAAATGAATTACTTGGACTTAATCAGCACTGAACTTCATCTGCATCTAGCAAAGTGTTGCTTCTTGAAGATAGAGGACTGACTGCTTCCAAATCAGTCTGACAAAGCACGGATGCGGGCAATCTGAAAGATCTCCACAGACCATTCTCTGAGGGCTACTTAGTTATACAACACCTCACAGCTGCCTCAGTCTTGCACTCCCAGGCTGCTGTTGTTTTCACAACTCTGCACACCTAAATCCCTATGAATAGGGGAACTGTAAAATGATTTACAGAGGCAGAACATAGGACCAGATGTTCAAGAGCTCAACACTCACGTTTGTGGCCAGATTTCCAGAAAAGCTTAGCTACTGAACAGAGAAAATATGGATTTGTAAAAGTGCAAGCCCCCTGGCAGCTCCTGTGCTGACATTTATTGCCAGATTTTTCAAAAAGGGCTCTGTGTCCCTGTGGGCTGAGCATTTACTTTGGTGCCCAAATGAAAGCTGAATTCTTCTGAAATGTCTGGTTCTAGCCACAGATGGTAGCCTCCATTTGAAAATGTTTGTCATAGTCAAAGGTGGTGGGGAGCTGCTTTGCACCTTGCGTAGTGGCTGTGCCCAGGGCAGTGCTGGCTGCCGTGATACTGGTGGTGGTGGTCACTGCTGTGGTGGCTGCTATTTTTATGGCCCCTTCCTCCATTCAAAGGCATTCCCTGGGGCTGCTGACCTGGCTTTCCCTGTGATTTATGCTACTGGCCATAGCACGTGGTTGCACTGAACAGAGAGTAACTGCTCTAGGTCAAGATTAAAATGAAAGTCTTCTCCCCCTTGAGAACTACACAATAGGTAGTCTTATGGATGGAGCTGTGTCTGCATTATGGGGACATAGCAGCCCTAGGTGGCATTTGGCACGATTCTGTGAGCTTTGTGATCTTCGTGGTCTTGGAACATGACAGAGAATACACTTTGGTGCAGACTTCTGCTTCAGCATATAAACACTAGACTGCATTGTCTGACTGCACTGTTTGACTGAATTCAATAAAAACCAAGCTCTGTTGGCTCAGGCTGTGAAAAGACCACATCTCGTACCTGGCTTTGCTCTTCTAGCAGAAGGTAGTTTTGTCAGCACCATGGCTGTCATTTGGGGGAGCTGGTATAGCTATTGCAGCAGAAAAAAACTCCTGCCAGCAGCAGTGCATCAATAGCAGGGGACTGGGTTGCCATAGCATCACATCTGATGAAGTGAACTTGAGTTTGTGAAAGCTTATGCTCTATATGTAGCTTATTTAGTTAGTATATAAGGTGCATGGCTACCTTGCCTTCTGCCATAGCACCATCACCATAACTTTTTTTGTATGACAAAAAGTGTCAGCATCTTTAATCTTGGTGTGCTTCGGTGTTTTTATCCATGTGGGAGCTCTTGGCCATCAGAGATATTACCAGGGATCGCCACATGGAAGTGGCTCTCGTTGACCCCCATCACCATAACTAAAGCAGCAGGAGAGTCCTGTGTATAGACAGAGCTTGCACTTTTATTCCCCTGCAGAGACAGCTCTGACAATTGCAGACTGTGGCAGCACTGTAACCTCATCACTGAGGCTGCAGTCCTCCCCCATAACTGGGTTGTTTATTTTCCTCCTCACTGCTGTCCAGAGTTTGGGAAACTATTGCCCATGATGCCCTTGATTTTGGAGGTGTGCCAGCCAATGAGTGATGGCAAGCAGCAATGCTTTGGATGTAGCTAAGGCTGTCTGTAAGCTTCCTGGCAGAAAGGTGGCAGGGTGGGTTAGAGCTGCGTGCACTGCAGT